TATTATACGATTGTCTAATGGCACGTGCAACGAGGAAATGAAAAGATCTATACAGTAAAGATGCGTAAAGGGAAGGATTATTTCATCTCTCGATGATTCCTTCGTTGTCTAGCTACGATTAGGGAAGTTTTACACTTTGAGACTTTGAAAATTCGACTTTGAATCTTCACGTAACACATCACCCTCGTTTCCCTAATCATTTTGTATTCTATCGTAACTTATAATAAATCCTCGTTATTGTAATCAATATTGCACTCAATATTCATCTTCTAAACAATGTGATCTACTATAATCTACTTTCTAATCTAATCCATCTTATTATCCTTGATTCGTTATAATTCATCGTACTCTCCTTTGCCAAAAGGAAAATTGAAAGAATAATTTTAATCTTTTAAAAGTTTTCGTCTAACGAGTGATGTTACTCAACTTACTCAAACTCGTAAACGCAATTATCATACCGATCAGTTTCTCGATAGATTAACAACTTTTGGCGTGGAGTGGTATTCCTCTTATCAGATTTTTAGATTCGATGTTCATGATTCCATCACCGATTGAAATGGACTCTCTAACACCTGACAGGTACCACAGACCACCAGGGCAGCAGTGGTGATCCGTCGACCCCGATCACCGAGGCACCCTCAACACCCGTCAGCGAGGAACACGATCCTCCTTTAGTGGCGGTGTCGGTCTGAGACAGGCTTCAGCGAATGATCTTCCTGAAACGGCTCAAGAGTCACGATGGTAGCCAGGTTTGAGCTGCACACTCTTCGAGAACGTTGGAAGATCTTCGCTCGGTATACGCAATTGAACGAAATTCGATCGAGCCGAAAATTATATACTGAAGGCAGCAAAATATCGAAATTATCGCGAAATTTTAAGAATTCTTGTTTTGGCTAATGATCAGAAGAGTATTTGATCCTTCACTTTATTCTTCTTCTTTTTTATTATTATTATTATTATTATTATTATTAATACTCTTTCGTATCCTTGGATCCATTTTATTCATCTGGAAAAATTTAAAATTGTTTTTTTTTAAAAAAGATACATTCAAATGTGAAATTTCTTACGTCGAATGAATCCAAGGATACTAATTATTGTTCAAGTATCTCAGTGGAATGGTTTCCTCCTCCGAGGAATTTTCAAGATTACGCAGTGAATCCTTGAGGAACAAATCAGGTGCGTTGAGATTGATACCTCGCTGATTTTTCGTGTACAATGTTCACGTGTTCGAATGTTCTTGTTTCTTTTCTTCAGTTTCCATGTCACTGTATATGATCCATTGTACAGATCATTTTATTCGTTGTAATTTCATGTATCTTTATATTCTTTTTATTAATTGAAAAAAGAAAAAGAAAAAAATATCACGTATCATACTTTATATCGAAAATAGATTAAAATTGCACAAAATTTGTAAAAGATCAATTATCATGTATCGAAATTGAGATTCTTATTTTGTTTTTTTGTTACTGAATTGTATCAAGAAAGTAAGAGCAAACAGCATTCCAAAAAATTATCATCGCAATGCGTGATGCGTGTGTCGTGTTTGCCACTTGTTAATTTTGTAAAAATTCATCAAGATTCTATAAAAATACCCGATTCTAGTAAAATACAGAAGACTCTACTCGTTTGCAGCTTGCAAGTGAGAGTGAGTGTCGTTTTTTTTTCAACCGGGTATTTTGAAAAAAGAAATTGTAAAAATCGACTTAAAATTTTCTTCTTATATATATAAGAGTATATTCATAATTAAAAATAATATTAAAATAAGTTTATTAAGAAGTATATTTTAAGCAAACTTAACGAAATCAAACGAAAAACCATCAATAATGCAAGTATCGACACACATTTCTATCACAGTTGAATAAATAATGTCTAGTCAATAAAGTAATGCAAGCGTGCAGTAATTTACGATAAAAGAGCAAAGAATGGACATTTACCAAAGTATTAAATATTAAAGGCATATTTTTACCGTATAATGTACTTCCGTAAATAGAATTTAAGAAAGAAGAGCATTATATATATATATATATATATATCTTTTCCTTTTGTATGAAGATATATACTGATAAAAGTACTTATATATACAAATAGATTAATCAACAATCTTGTGATTAACATGACGTTACCATAAATTGTTACTGACTTTATCACTGCAGTCAGTATAACTCATCAAATATCTTACCATCTTCTATTGTATCGATGTAATATTATTAATAAATTTTAATCATTTTTTTTTTAAATACATATTCAAATTCAAATTTTTGAATAACGTAACGTTTGAATTCCGCTTTTATTTTTTCTGTCAATATTCAACTCTTATAAATAATCGATCTAAAATGATTTCTAAAGTACATTAGCAACAAACAAGATTTTATTCGATTTTAATGTTCGCAGAGAGAAAGGAACAAATTAAAGTGAGTGTGTTAAAACGTGAAAAACGTGAAGAAGGGTGCAAAAGAGAACGAAATAAGAATGGAAAGGAAGGAGTACATATAATACAAATATATTTCATACGTAATTACGTATTCTCTTGCTTCTAGACACTTAACAACAATTAATCAATAACTTACGGGACGCGATCGTTGCTGAATACATGACACCTTTTATGTTTAGTTGTATTGCACACTAGAAATATACCACAGATGCATTCGTACACGGTATCAATCGGTGATACGTCTGGCGTACTTTCACGTATACCTTAAGTATCTATACAATAAATAATAATTCGACTTTTTTTTTTCTTCTCTCTCTCTCCATTCCACTCGTATCCCATTTTACTCAATGATCTATAATATCTTTGTTCAATTCCACACTCACAAAATACACAAATCGTAACGAAATTTCACCATTTATATCATTCCTCGATTATTTTAACGATGAAAACAATTGTCCTTTCCTCTCGATACAGGCAAAATATATCACCAAAAAATCGTCCATTCCTTCGATGCACTCTTTTTTTTTCTAATGTAACGACCACCATCTCATTCCATACGATTCATCATCCCACCCACACACACGTGTCACTGATACTTAAGAAACGATATGATACCAAACATTGGCTCAACGAGAAAACTGATTCTCGTCGCAAGGTCGAAGGCAAATATCTCTCTTTTCTATTCCATTCGTTCATTCACGAGTTCACACGCGCGAAAACACGTATATACGCCTCTCTACGATAATAGAAATCACACTGATAAACAAAATATAAGCCCCCGTACGCGGTCAATGATTTTTCCACTAGCAACAGATTTTACCTTGTTTCGAATAGGCTTGCGAACAATGATGATTTATCACACGTACAGGTATGTCGACATTAATTATATACACATCGAAAAGGTGTCTCTGTCTCTGTGATGATCGTAGAGCGAATCTTGTGATCGTTTTACTTTTTTTTTCGAGCCGTCGAGAGAGAAATCGAATTCCTGATTGAATCTTTTTCGGCGGAATATCGATGTTTGATCAGGATGATGGATGATGGATTTTTGTACGATTAGAATTGAAGAGTGGATATAAAAAAGGCTATATGCACTGGAAATTAAAGATTTATCGAAAAGATTTCAAAATTTTTGTCTTAAGTGTAATATAGTATTGTTAATTAATGGAGAAAGGAATTTTTATTATGGTATTCAAAGCCTTTTTCATTTCCAATCTTCAAGCCTCGAAATTCATTAAAGTAATTCAGAATCAGTCTTGAAGCATTTGAATCGTTCGCTCGGCTCTTCCATTAAAAACGACAACAGACCTTGGAGACATTTCAACAAACTTTTACATATTTTTTTTATGCTTTTTTTTTCTTTTTGCATATATATTTAAACAACACATCCATACGATTCTCTTTCAATTTTCATGATCGAAGGATGACAAATTCGTAATTTATAATTTACAATATCTTTTACAATCATCAAACGGCTTCGTAATAATCCTCCAAAGTATACGTATCCTAAAACACCTAACCTTGGCTCCGTGAGAGATCTAAAGTTGGTAAAATGAATGGAAGAAGATTCGTGAATCGACAAAGATTCAAAAAGTAACATCCGAAGTTGTAAAATGTCCTCGGCTTTTCAAACGAATCATCGTATTAAAAGTGCAAAATTTGAAAAATTTGCGATTCTTTCTTAGTTTATCAAGGAACCGATCGACGTGCGAATGCGAATAATTCTCGTGCGGAAATAATCAATTTCGAGAAATCAATAAGGACGAAAGTGCGCAAATCGAAGATACGATTAAACATCATAAAAATCAAGATCTCTATCGTGGAACGCAACACTTGGTCTTGCGTAGCGACTATGTGAAGTATTACGATATCAATTAATTATTGTCAAACGCTGTATGTTTATTTACGTATGATCGATACATCCTCGAATCGTTCAAACTCGTAAAAAAGTCAGATCATTACTCTAATTGTAAAAATTGAAGCGAATAAAACGCGCGGGACGTGTATAAATAGCTTAATAACTATCGAGAAGTACCGTGAAGGTACTGCAGGGGAAACTATGCGAATTGGCCTCTCGAATTTTGTACCATTTAATACATAGATAGACGAACAAAACGATTTTTCCTCGTAGAGCGTAAGAATTATCGCGACGAAGATGAACAATTCTTTGAAGAATTCCTTTTTATCCGTTTGCGATTTATACAATCTCTTTTATTAAGCTTTTAATAATTCTTTCCTTTTTTCTTTTCACTACTTTCAACAACGTCTTCGTCCAAATAAAAAAATATCTATGGGAGGACAAAAAATATTATATTATACAAATTCCAATTTCGTCTCCCTTTTAACAATTGAACAATTCATTCGATCGTTCCTAATCTCTCCTATCCGACCATATAAATTCTAATTCCCTCGATTAACAACAACAACAACAACAACAATATTATCACGTTCCAATCCGAAATAAATTGATTCGTGGCCGAGGTTAAATATTTATCCAGTCTGAGCTGCGAAGGAAAAAAGAATTTTCACTGGAAATTCCATTAGCGATTAAACATGGAACACATTCTCTTACGATCGGTGAATAATTAATAAAACGTGTTATGTTATTACGCGTCTACTACTTGTCGAGCGCGAGGCGTCGATCGATGGACAATGATAAATTCGTTTTGGCACTTTTAACTCGATTAGCTCCCTTCTAACGTTTTATATGGTATTTTTAGGCCAATAGTCACGTAATATAAGCTCGATTCAACGCTCTTCCAGGTATCATAATCCATTTCGTTTCAATGTTTAATTCCAACGTGTAATATTATACATTTGACGCAATAGGGATATACACTCGCGAGCGAATCAATACGCGAGTATACGATCACATACGATTCACCCGTATACCCTTTTCTCCTTTATTGAACATCGAAGTGTATCGACACATTGAATGATCAGCCGACGAATTAATTGCCGGCGTCATCGAGAGAAAACCAACTTTTTCTATTTCAAACTGGTGCAAAAGTACAAATTTGCATGGAATCGATTTTCTGAAATCAAATATGAAATTCAAAAAGATCAGATCACGTTAAGCGATATCAGACTTGCACAGTTTTTGATGATAGTCTAAGCAAGCGAGGGCTTGAGATGTTCGTCTGGTTTTGAGTTTGATTTCAGCGAACCGATTTTCAGTTCTGTCGCAGAACGATCCAGCAAGAGTCGAATAAATTATGGCAAAGGTCTGATCATTTGTCGTTATTAGACAGTAAAGATCAGAAACAAAACATATCTGGTTCCACGGAGGTTTGCTTCTTGGCACTTTAATAATAACGGACCTCCCTTATCCTGGTTTTGATCCACTCGGCCAAAATCAGCCAGAGAACCTTCCCGCGTTCCCTGAAAAATCGTCGGGCGAACACGTCCTGAACAGTCACGATCGGACAATGACGGACCCGACTACGTGTGAATTGCACACGCAACAATGAATCCCACGGCATGTCGTGCCGATGTGAGTAAAATGCGGCCCTTACCTGTAAAATTACAATTTTAGAAATCAACGAAATGGAATTTGCTTCCTTTAATGTGGAAAAATATGTAAATGAAACGCCAATGCTTTGCGACTTCGCATTTCGTAATGATTATATTTCTACGATAAAAACGTACACATTAGAGAAGAAATAGGGATATCATCGAGAAATCAAAAGAGCGCCGTGGCAAAAGATATGAAGACCCCGGATCCGGGATCATCGTCCACGGAATCCCATGAAGTTTCTCTTTCGTTTCTTTCGAGTTTTACATTTCTAACGATGAAATTTGTACATACATATGATCTCAAACGTGTTGAAAACATAAATCTATAAAATCGAGCACAACAATTTGACCGTAACAATTGTTTTTAATCTTACCGAGGGCCGTGCCAGGTCAGATCACACTTTCCAAAGCAGCAGATGATTGGTCGAATCCTCACGACCAGCCTGCAGCTCGGCGGATGCCTGTGGACCTCTGAAATCCTCGTAACCGTCTCCACCGGATATTACCAACAGTTTTCCACGATTGATGTTGTTCTGTTGTGCTTTGTTAGATTTCAGAGAATATCTGTTCACCTTTGGACGCGGGTCTGGTTTTGGCGGGGTTATCGTTTCCACGCAAGTGAGAAAACGCACGTGTCCGGTATGTCCATGAGGAATACCTGAAAAAAGAGAGACAAAATAAGTGATCTTGAAATCAGAATCCAGAAAAAACATCCGCATCTAGCATTGGCAATCGACAAAACATTTATACTACCCAATTTCCAAACTTATGTCCTTCGATTCTCTTTAAATGAATCTTAACTTCGTGCACGTGGCATAATTCGTGCGAATAATTCGAAAAACGAGCGAAATAAAATCTATCCCTCGGTTCAGAAGCTCTGATTTTCTTGCAACAGAGTATCACAAATATTGAAATTAAATTATAACAAAGATTGAAAGCCTAGTAGCGATGTTTCCGGAAATTTATTTACGCAGATGCACGAGAAGGGATGAATTTTGCAAATGATTGATCGAGCGGACACTCGCGATGTAGCCACGAAGCAATTCGCACAGTGGCCAGATTCTAATTATATCGGAAGCAACGAGCGGCGATTATAAACGATTGAACGTGACGTCAATACGTACCAGTCACGATCGGTGGTTGAGACATCCTCTGAGTGGATGGCTTTATATGGGGAATTGGCACGGTCAATAGTACACCGGCGCTCGTGCCGATCCAAAGCAACTCGTTGCAAGCCAAAAGTGCGGTGACCCTGAGACAGGCAGCCTTGTGCTGTCGTATTATGTCATCGCAACCTGCAGCAAGTTTAAAGCTTCCATTAAAATAAATACCATAGAGTACGAGAGAAAAACAATTTCTTCGATCGTTATATCTGAAAAATAAAATATCGTTTAATATAATAGTTATAGAGAATTTTATGGTAAAGGTAACAACTTTTTCTTACTTTTCTTATATTACTTTTAATAATATTTTTTAAGGATATGTCCGTTTAAAAATATGTATAAAATGATTATAAAATTTTTGGTATATTTTAAATTGATTCTTTGTGTATACTCAAACAGACCCAGAAATAGGCCAGGACCAGTGTCCCAATTTGTGAACGACAACCGTTAGTCTACTACTAGTGAAAAGAATTTGGAAAGCGAGACTACTAAGGGGAATTTCTTGTTCCAATTTAATGGCCTGTTATCTCAGGTAAAATTCTTTATTTTATCGTCTAACGAAACCTTTAGGTATTTTTTTTTTTAAACAACGAAGAAAAATATAACATATTGTACTATTTTATAAATATCTCTAGAAAAGAAACATGTATCACATACTTACATTTACATTTATTACGCTACGAAAAATCTTTGTTAAAGTCGTATTGAATGAGATCAAGTTAAACATGTAACAATACAAATCCAATCCAATTGCAATTCCAATACAAAGAATTCACTAGTCAATTGTATAACTCATAGTATTTCTCAAAGTGAAATTATCGAATCAAAGAAAGGAATCTATTTACGATATATTTGATCCCATTTTTAATTTTCTTTTTTCAATCTCTAATTCTCGACAAAAGAAGATAAAAGATATGATTAATTATATGCGAAGAATAGAATATCACAGATAGTCAAGACAATGTATCAAGACACGTAGAAACTTACTGGTAAGCATTTTGGTGACAGCTGGTGCTATATTGATATCTGTCAAGCATTCGTAGCTACCAGAATGGAATAATCGCAGCACGGCGCTATTGTGCAAAGAGATCCACACTCCTAATCCACCGGAACTCGCCATGCAGGAAACGGACAAAGATGTGTCGTTGCTAACGGCGAACGTATGCTCTATATCCAACGTGTGGGTGTTGAGAATCTTCACCGAATTGTGGCATCCGCACCAAAGTTTACCGGATACAGGAAGCATTTTAGTCACTGGAGAAGCGACGGTACCCACCGATACCGACGTTGGATCAGGTGTGTTCCAACCACCCACTACAATTATACAACAATTTTATATAAATTAAGACTGTTTGATTTATTGTAAATCACGTGCCAAAGAATATCTTATTTCGAATTTTTACACGAGATTTATTTTAACTTATCGTTTATATTTTACAATGTTTTTATTCTTTTCTTTTCGTATAAAATTTATATATGATGACTTACTATGATCTCGAGAATAGACGGTGATGTCTCCATTGGCGAGTGAAACGAACACTTTATTGTCCAAATATCTGTAATAAATGAGAATAAACAAGAAGAAGAAAAAAAAAAAAGAAATTAAGTTTCATACGAAGCTGTCGTTATAATCGATTAGTTTATTGATAGAATTTAGACGAGACGTGTCATTGTTTTGATATGTTGATTCGATAAAACCCTTACATGATGCAATGCACGCTGCTGTTGTGCTGTATTTTCACTTTGTTCTTTTTTATCCTGATGTTGTCATTGCAATTGTAAACGTGTATACATCCATCTTCGGTACCTAGCCACATTGTTGGTTGATTGACATCCTCCTCTGTTGTAACATTATCGATACTGGGAACGTCGCCACTCAAACTCAGGCTACCCGTATCTGCACATGGAATGTCGTCCGAGTCCGAGTCATCGGAGCTCGAGCTACTGCAAAACAGCTTTCTTAGATAAACCGTGAAATTTACTAAATAATTACGTATTAAAATAATTGCAAGAATTTCCTTAAAAAAAAAAAAATAAGCCTCTTAACGTATCTTTCCATTAAAAATCGACGAAAGAAAATGTATTAACAAGAATCATTTTACATTTATGCTTATTTTTACTTAAGTGAACACATTGTGCTTCACAATGGATATATTTTTGAAACAACATATTTCTTTTTCTTTCATAAGATATTTTATAACAAGAAATCAACCAATTATAATTTCAAAATTATAACAAAAATGTAAGAAGTAACGGAATTCTTCTGATTAGAATTTTTTTTGAACATGTACTCAAAACGTGAGATAAACGAAGATTTGAGATCATAAATAAGTGCAGTTGACTCCTCGTTATACAACACTATTTCCTGATTCAAATTTTCAGTCAAAAGTATTACCTATCTAACTGTATGTTCCCGCCACTGGCATCGACATCCTGGACCGAGATGCTTATACCGCTCTTACTGTTCGCGAATGAAATGTTGTTAGTCACGCACGAATTCGATCTAAAATACAACACAAATAAAGTAAGGCCCCCTTCTACCAGCCTCTACAAAGTATTACAAAAAAAAAATTCATTATCAGCAACCGTTTCTTCTCTCTTCTCAAAGATCTCGCAAAATTAAATAGTTCTCACATAGCTGCTCGAAACTTTCAATTGTCAGATAGTCACGTGTCATTGGAAGAATAATTTAATCGTGAAAATACTTTTTATTTCATTTAAATTTTAGATAAAATTATTCGCTAATATTTCAACAAAGCTTTCGAGCAACTTTTTTAATGAACGCTTAAAGAGTCGCAGCTCGAGTTTGGTATTCAGGCATTTGGTATCTCACCTTTGGGTGCAAGCTGGAATTCCAGCGACGCACAAGATCCTCGCGTTGCAAACGCCATTGCAAGATGTCACCTGCGGCGGTTCCGGTGTCAGACTCAACACGCACACTTGGCCCACGTAGCCGTCGCTGTTGCACACCCAAACATCTCTCGAGCCTTGTCCATTGGCCAAAGTGGGCGCAGCACAGGTGAACTGCAAGCCAGCCCGAGTCTTTCGAATCGGCAGAGGTCCCACAAATTCTGGGCAGGGCCTCCTATCAGCGGACAACGCTGTAAGTCGAGACACATCGACACAGGTAAGAGCAAGAAAGAATACTTATGTGTAAAAAGAATTTTTTACTTGAATAAGAAAGTAGTTGCAAGTTTGTCTGCTTCTTAATTTAATTCATTTAACCATTTATTTTAGAAAGAATAATAAAAATGAAGAATAAAGAGTGAATCATAAGTTTGAAGTCGATTTTAATATTTGGTATATTCGAATGAATTAATGAAAGAAAAAGGAAAGGTTTTAACATTTGGTAAACGCAGAAGATTCGTATGATAAGAAAGATTCATGAAAATACAAATCGTGAACGTATATTTCTAGTTGAGTCTACTTCCAAATGTGTTGAATTACGGAGGAGAGAGCACGTGTGAATGTAAGAGAATCTAAACAATCGAACTATGAAAGCAAAAGGGGCATAGAAACGTGGCTACGTTTCTAAGAACACGAGTGTAAACTCGTGTGTGAAATCTAGTTTCCTGGAAGAAACGTCGTGTAATAGTATTGAAAAATTATTAGCATGAGAAAGTGAAGGTATATTAAAAAAACAAACATGATAACAATTGGTAATCAAGTGAAAATCGACATTATCTTCGATTGTTTCATTAATATTTACGAGTCTCTGGATAAATTGATGAAGACATCTCTCGGGTACGAATACAAACACTTGTCAACATTTGTCAAGAATTAATGCCTTCAGAACAATACTCGCTAACGTCTTCAAACGCTGACGAAACGTTTGCAAATAGTCTATAAGCGATCAATAGACACGTAACCACCATTCGTATACATAGGCACAATTCCTAAAAAACACGAGCTAAAAGGAATATCCTTCATCTTCGTAAAGAAAACTTCAGAAAAATTACATTTCGTTTGAGCAAAGTTATATTTTATCACCTTCGTGAATTACATTACAGTCCCACTCACCTAACTTTTGTTTAGCCTCGTTGAAACTCTCCTCCCAGCTGGCTCTTTTGTCCGGTTTCGTGAACATCACGGAAATGTTCTCGATTCCAGCTCTGAAAATACACGAAACAGGTGTCACACGAGTCGTTTTTAAGTCACGTTGCATATTGTACACGGTTCGATGCACGTGTACCTGGAACGTGAGATGAACAAAGCGCAAAAATACGTTTATTGTAAAGTTGGACCGCTTTATGAGCGGCTAATGGGATGAAATGTTTGCGTTCGATAAACTGTCACTGTGTGTAATATCGAGCCGAGGATTCTTACGTTGTCATCTCGGATTGTGGTTTGTTACATACGTGAATAACGTTCGAGCGAAGATGTGCGCGCGAACTTTGCGCATAAAGGAATGGACACAATGGAATTGGAAAGCGGGACTCGTTTAATGGGAACTGTTGTAAATTATGAAAAGAATTCACGAGCGATTTTAAAAGCTTTTAACGTTTCGCAAGTTAACATCTGCGGTGACTGAAACGTTTATTAATAAATGACGATTTAAATATCGATGTGATTACGTCCGTTCAATTTTGATTGACTTTCCAATGCCGGATATTTTTGAATGATCGCTCGACGAATGAAGTCGTTACTTACTGAGTATTAAGCGTTAATTCCAGACAAGCCAACTGCGAATGCGCCGCGTTCCTCTCGGCTAATTGACGCTGCGCCTGGCCCAGCATATCCTTGATGAGATCCTCCAATTGTTGCTTCGCACTGTGCAACGTGGATGCCAACTCCTGAAGTTGGGTCAACGTTGCGCAGTCTTCGCGCAGATGATCCACTTCGCGGGCCATCCGCCTCAAATTTTCATCTTTGGCTGTTTAGAGCAACGTTTCCTTTATTTCAATCTTCCAAACGACTATAGACGAAAAATTTAGACACTCGTTTACCTTTCATAACTTCTAAATCGTCCAATGGTATTCTCATTAGCATTTTGTACTTGTTCGCTTCGAGTAGGCCAACCAAACTATTCGGGCAGGAGCTATTCAGACAGAAAACGAAAGCATAAGTATATAGAAAAACTATAAAATATTATTATCCCTTCGAATTAAATATCGATAATAAGCTTCACCAATTTGAAATCGTACGCTTTCGTTGAAGTAATATCAAGTTCGATGTGAAAATAATATGAATTTTTATTTTAAATGTTTCGAAAGGATATACTCACGTCGATGGTTTTCTGATAGTTCCGCTCCTCCTCTTGATGCTGGTGATAACGAGTAAATCGGAAAATAAGAATAGCGCCCTTTCCTTTCTGGTTCCTTGGTTCGACGCGATCGTGACCAGATCTTGGCGAATGAACGCTCTGCGGCATAGAACGGACTCGTGTCATTTTCAGATGAATCTTTTTTGTTTTCACAGCAATTTCCATCGCGTGACACGCATCGGTATTGGGAATCGATACGGCGTGCACGCTTAGAGGTTGAACACTTGACGATGAAACGAAGAGCCGAGTGCAACGTTTTACGCGCAGCTACTCGATCGAGGGCTCTATTGTGCGGTTAATGTCATTTTAATCTCGTTCTCCTTTATTCCCTCCCGTGAATCGTGCAAAAAAAAAAAAAAAAAAAAAAACAACGAATTCGATGAATTTTAAAAATATTTTTTAATACGTTTCAATTTCTTCCTCGTTTATTTTTCCCTCGTACTATATTTACACGGTATATTAACGAGAAATATTAAACTTTCATAGTAACGTTCAATCGAGAAATTGTTTAAAATAAAAAATTGATATTTAACGATCTTCACGAGAAAATTGAAATTTTATAATATTCAGTGAAGAATGTAATTACGTTCGATTCTTATTTTCCTCATTTTTTAAAAATTCTAAGTCGAACAATATTCTCTATCACATAAAATAAATTTCATCTCGATGGATTTAACTTTATCGAAGAAAAATATAAATTCTTATTGTTTAATTATTTAGCGTGTACGAAATTTGTTTGTTTTTCAAATTTTTCCCTTAATTATATCAAAAAGAGAAAAAAAAAGTTCACCTGTCGTTCGTCACGATACCAGCCAGTCCTTCGACGAGCGCCTGAACCTCCCTTAACGTAGTTTGCTGTTGCTCCCACTCGAGAGACTCCCTTTCCGTGCAATTGATCTTTACGACCAACTCGTGCACCTCTTTTTGGGCAGCTTGTAGCAACTCGAAATCAGGATGCGTGGTGTCGGTGTGCTTCAACAGCCTCTGGATCAGCAACTCGTAACGGGGTATCTTCTGCACCGGTTTGATCAATAACTGATCCAGTCCAAGTTTCCCTTTGTGCTCTCGTTCCATTGTCTGTCACGATCGAAAGGAATAATGTTAAATCTCTGCGATTTCGGAGGAAAGGAATAGAACGAGAATGATTTCTTTTTATTAAAATTATTATTATCGAATTATTGCAAATTATATTGCAAAAATAATTTAGATTTTATCATTTTAAATTTGGAAAATATTAATCTGTTTGAACTCTGGAACAATGTAAGGAATTTAAAAAAATTAAATGAATCCACCTTTATTCTTCGAACAGATTAGCTTGTACTTTTTTTAAACATTTAACTAATTAAACAAAATTTGTTTCACATTAGGAAAAAAATAATCAATTGACTTTTATATTTATTAAATTAATTTTTACGATAAATGCTTTAAAGTCTTTAAAATCGATACGTAAAAAAACATAATTATTTTTGCATCAACTTAATGCTTCGTCACAATAAAGGAATATTGATATTATGAATATTTAAAAAAAGAGAAAAAAATTGGAATATTTTTAAACGAAATCTCGTGATTATAAATTCTTCCATTTCTCTTATAACTTAGTTATTTCGAGCGTTAAGAAATTTACGTGAAATGGAGCGAATCGTAATGAAATTAAATCCAAGCTACTGTTTAACAATGCAGAAGATAAAAATGCTAATTGGTGGAGAGAGAAAAAAGAATGCATGGCGTGTATACCTCGAGGAATCGCGCGAAAGCCGGTTTCGCTTGGCAAGTCGTTTTTATCGCCTTCCTCGCGGACTTCCAATTATCAAGGAAAAGGGTATATGTCTCCAGGACGACTGGCTTAGTGAACTACAAAAGAATGAAGAATAATATTAATATTAAATTTAAATTTTCTTTCTCTTTGGATTATTTGTACAAAACTTCGTACGCAGAAAGCAGAAAACTTAAATATATATTTTTATAGAGAATCAATATTTTATTAAATAACTTTGTGCAGCTTTTCCGAGAAATTTATTATTTTCTAGTGACGAATAAAATGCTTGTAAATTTCCGGAGTACTTCGAGTATTTTGAGTGAAAAATTTTGCAAAAATTGAGATGAATGACAGTCGAACAATAAATCAGAGAAATGGAATTGAATATTTCAAATGAAAATGTTTTAATATTCTATTTTTTATTCGATAAAAATTATACTTTAAAAACTATGAAAAAATATATATATGAATTATTTTCAAATAATCAATACGTACTATAAAATAAAATAATTGAGTTACAACGATTTAAAAGTTTAATTTAGTTAGGAATTATCAAGCGAGTACTCGATAAGAAAATCGTACCACATCGAGGAAAACATCACCAATCGTCTGTTTAAGCTCCCAAGTATCCAGTCTTTTACGTAATTCCTCCAGGAACACTTCATGATGATTGAGAATAGCGGGAATCTGAAACACGTATATTCGAATTCTCTTTTGATGACTTAGTTCTTTCTAAACTCTATTCAAAGCTTCAAAAGAATGTTAAACATAAATCGTTAGAGAAATAACGGAATTCGTTTTACTGTTGCAAATTTACCAATGGTTAACATCTCTTCGAGGCTTAGATGTACAAAATACCAAGTATCTCAAAAATCATAATCTCGCAATGTTAAAACAAAATTATCGTTATTCTCGATAATTATCATAATATACGAATACTTCTATCATGTTCCATTTCAACAAAATTTACAACTCGTACTGTAAAACGTGACTGTTGATTAAACAAAACCTCAAACACGAGTAATCCTATTCCTCTTAATAGAACCATAACAAACGTTTATTATCTTGTAATTAGGGAATACGACATTGTGTCTACGGGGCTGGTAATTGCTCGCTCCACGTAACATTTAGTAACAAAGTATCCAGCCTGTTTCATTATACCGTATTAAACGTGTTCGCGTTTCAGTGATTAAGAAATAATTAACAATTGTTCCTTCCATCACGAGAATCAAAGATTGGAAGGTGCAACGAATTAATTGGGAACTCGTGGTATCCAAACATCGATCGAACGTACAACGAATTCACGTGGACGAACTTCCGTTTCATTATCACCTTTTTATCTCGTCTGCTGTTCTTCAGCCAATTTCTCTCGCGTTTGTATATTTATGGCAAGTGGAACGATGCGTGTATAATCAGACCGAATATCGCATATCGGAGTACTTAATTTGATAATTTTGTTTATAAATTTTCTTGTACAATTTGAATAGCTAATTAAACATTTCTAAATATATCAAATTTATAATCTATAATATATCGTTAATTTCACATTTATATTCATATACATAAAACTCGTTCGTGTGTAAATTATAACAAATTTATGCTGTAACTCTCTTTTCGAAGAAAAACTTCTTTTATCGAAAGATTATTTTACCTGATAAAATATCTCGTCCACCGTCGCAGAGTCCACCAATCCTGCATTTTCGGAGCTTTTCAACGGTTGAAGGTATTTCTAGAACAAATCAAATTTCAGTCAGTTTTCACGTTCGCAACCAGAATCCTATATTCCGTTACCGAAAGTTTGACACTTTTGTAAATAAAATATCCAATTGGAAAAACAAATGTCTCGTATTACTTTATATTGGAAACTCGGTGTTCAATCGATTTTTATTCAACCGGAATACAGTAATACAAAAAGAGAGAGAGAGAGAGGAACGGAATTTCGTCGACTTACGCAACGTGAGTCAGAGACGGAAAGCTTTATTTTCAACGCGGATAAATAACCGTTCATCGGGTTACATGAAGACGCGGAACAACCTCGGGAATAAAAAGAAACAAGAGAATCGATCGAGGAAACTCACGAAGGACGTGATGAATTGGATCTAAGGTATTCCGCGGATGTTTAACTTTCAAAGAGTGGATAGTTGTGTTGGGTATATTTTTAGCGACTTCTCTATGCTAATGGCTCTTTGGATTAGACCGGATGAAAAGTTAAATGGATTTTAATGTAACACGCAACGCAAAAGTATAAATTGAAATTGTTTCGAGGAAAAGTGTTAAACTTAAGATTTTAGTGAACAGCAGTGCGAATTGTAAAATTGAAATAAAACTATGATAAGTATATAATAATTGTGACGAGTGAATTTTTCATTGTTTGCTCTGGTTTATTCTTAAAGAGATATTGATATTAAAATTTTGTATAAAATTTTCACGTTGAGGTAAAAAATCGGTTAAAATCACTACAAGAAGTCGAGAAATTCTCTCATTAAGAACAGAACATTTTCATTTCCGTTACTTCGTACAAGGAGATGGATTATCGATCTGGAATCACAATTGATATCTGTTTATTTGTACTTTCCTGATGGATAACTTTCTATTATTTTTCTAACCTGAAGCGACGACATGAAAAATCGTTGATATCCAAACCCCAAGGCTACGCTGTTAAATAATCGCTCGGCTCGAACAACAATCATCGTGGACCGTGATGTTTATAAAATATGACAATCAAACAGTTTTAAGATTACCCATGTTATACTATGTTGCGGAATTCGAATTCTTCTTCTTCTTCTTCTTTCTTTTTTTTTTTTTTTTTTTTGTTTTCTTGTGAATCGAGAAAAATCTTAGAGAGATAGAAACTGCGTAGATATCGCTGCTTTTAATATCTCGTAGAAGAGATGACGCTTTGAATTTAATTCCGTGAAGATGTAGAAGACTTTCAAGACGATATTCTCGTCTCGTGACACATTATAGACATTAAGGAAAATTGGAAGATATTTGCCGAACGATATTGTTAATCTATCCGGTGTACGTGTTTCACGGAACATTACAGAATTATTTTAGATATCCAGAAATCTTCCATATGTATAAAATAGCTGGGATTATTTTGCAATGAAAGTGCAATGAAATATAATACGTGTGTGTACGTGTGAGAGAATTCAATTTATTATTTCCTCGTAATAAATTAGATGATTTAAATCGAATTTAGATCTAGACTATTCTCTACTTTACAAATCTGCATTTCCAGAATAGCGTTGAAACAAGGAATAGTCTGAATCATTCTAACCTATTTGTGAAAAATTTGCAGCTGGCAAATTTGTTCTTCGTGAAAATTACGCGCGAAAAAAAAAATTTATCGTAATATTTTACAAATAACGAGAAGAAAATTTCTAGAACTTTTCTATTAACCTTTTCAGGAATGAATTTATTGCATGCAGAAGATAATTATTCTTTTCTTTTTTTTTCAAATATACAAAAATTAACTCGATAAAATTTATTTAACAAGTTACTTATCTACTTTTCAATCACTAAAAATATGATCGTATACACGTACCGTTATCAAAAAAATTCGTCTGGCAACGTATGTGTAATGGTTTGGAGCGATGGTTTTCCATGTGTGTATGTGTGAGAAAGAATTTAAATAATTCTCGCGAACCTGTCAGATAAACTAGATATGTCTGTCGCAGAAAATAAATAAACCATCAGAAACCAACCAGTTATTTCCATTACTCGCCGCGATATTAACATTAGAATCAATAGCCGTGTCTGGATTCTAGAACGAAATCGATTTTTATTCCCTCGATATCCTCAATTGTTTCGATAATGGCATCGAAACGATTATTCCTCCTGTATTTTCAAACATATTGATAATGATACTTGACCGAGTTGGTCCATGGAGTTCCGTAATAAATTTTTTTACGAGGAAATATCTGTAAAATGTTGCAGATACGCGTGTTCGATTCGAAAATAGACGAACGCAGACTGAATAACCGAAATAATCGTACGGTTTGCAAATTGAATTAATATGTTAATGATCTGAATGTAATGAACGGTACAGGTATGAATCGAATAAATTAAACATTTCTGCACTTAACAACGGTATATTGAATACGAGTTAATCGTGTCGTTAACAATCTATTTCATTCATTGAGGAATAATTAAATTTACGTCAGATTTTAAATTACGATTTAATGTAAAAATATATATATAAAAAAAAAAAAGGATGAAGAATTTAAAAAATAGCAACGAACGAAAGAACACGAAAATGAAGAATTATCCTTCTATCTCAAAAAATTATAATAATTTATAAAAAAGAAATTGTATCTAGATCATAGTAATGACCTTTTATAACATTTAAAACACAGGAAAATTTTCTCGTCATCTTCAATTGCGTTCTTCGTTCCTTCATCTCGCTTCGATCCACCCTTATTTATTCAACCAACGTCGAACTACCTGCGTAGAACCAATGAGGAATCAGACGAGGAACAGATTGGATATTTCAGCGATTTTCTATTTTCCATCGTCTATATTCATCTGAAAAAGCAACTTCTCAGAATCCAGTTCCAGTTGCATCGTAAAAGATTGCCGCGACTGACATATCGATACGCGCAAATAAATCTGGAAATCACGTCTGGCCGCCATCGAGGATATTAAATTCATACCACGTGCCTGTATCGCATGGGTCGAAGGTTGTGGCCCATTTAAGCCACGATTCGCTACATTGTTTGTGAGAAATCGTCCTTCCATGATTGTGTCGGGTCGCAATAATTACCGACTAATTGCACCCATTATTTATCGACCGAGCAGCCTTCGAATAACGAACAACAAGGATGGAACACCCCCGACTTTCTTTAAATGTCAAACGACGAGAGGAACGGCCGATTTTCTATGACGATTTCACGAGTTTCGTGAGAAATAATGGGGATGGCGCGAAGTTTCTCGATTGGAGTGATGAAATTCGAGAGGGAGGGAAAAGGAGGGAGATGGACAGGGATTGAAGTTGTAACGAGAATTATTTCTCTTTGTGTAAAATTAGGTAATGAGTAGAAATATCGTTTTTTTATTTTAAATTTAATAAGACGAAACGTAGTTTCCATTTTTCTTCTTTTTTTTTCCAGCCACCTTCACCTTTAACCTTTTAGGGGAGAAATGACGTTTTCTTCGATAAAAATGTATGTAAAGAATTGCCATTTTTTGTATAGGGGAGATTAATTGGGGCTTAGTCGGAAATCGTTAAAGTATCTGATAATTTGTTACAGATAATTATTTATTTATATTCCTTATGATAGACTGTTTCGAAAATGATATAAAATTAATGATATTGAATATTATTTCTATGAATTTATATGATAAAATGTTTTATATAATAATTATATTAGAAAAGTAATTATTTCTAACGCTTCTTCAAGCAAAAATTTATAAAGTTATACGAATATTTTGTACCAGACGTTTTTATTAAGACGTCGTTTTATTATCAAATTAAATCGTAAAGTGTATAAACTTAAAATGGACGTCTTAAAAACATCGTGAACCATTTCAAAACAAAAGTTATATTGCTTATTAAAAATAATAAAAAGAATTTTCCTGCTTCATCACTTTTGAACTTACTCCACGACTTTTTTTACGATCCACACAAAATTTTATTTCGACAAATTTCTTCTCCTTATTGTATTAGTATTATATTAGTATAATTAAAAAAGAAAAATAATGTAATATAGGAATTTCTTCGACAATCACTTTAAGTCGGTAATATTTATCAGAAAACGTTAATATGTAATTCGGGTGGCGTTTAATGGAAACAACAAGCCGGAGATGCGAAGCTGAATAAGTTAACGAGAAAATTTTCATGAAGTAGATCACTAGAGTGGAATCCTTGTACGAAGCAAATAAACGGACAACGAGCTTGTTTACAAGAAACAAGGTCGCGGCTTCGATGCTCAAAGAACTTTCGAAAAGCACATTTCAGTCTACATGCAATATTCTCCACTGAGTAAGTAGAGAAGAGAATGAGTAAAATGAAGAGAAAAAAATCTTCAAATTTTAGATATATTCTTCTTATCCTGTTTATTTGAGTAATTAAAAAAAAAATTAATCTTGAATAATAATAAAAATTATATATAATTTGATATTAACATAATAATATTTTTATTATAATTTAAATGAGTTGGAAATTTATTGTCAAAGCAAGCTCACGATTTATTTTCGCCTAATTTTTTTTTTTTTTTTTTTGTCAAATTATGCTTTCAATCGTATTCAGGGAACATCTGAATACGTTTATGTTCCTAGTATTTCATTCCTGCTGAATTGATAAAACGTGGAAAAATTCTCAAATATAGTCAACCCTCGACATGAATTTGATTCCAAGAATCGTTCTTGATTATATTTCGCGGGGAAATTTCATCGATATTGTGTAGTTTATTAAAATGGTATACTTACATTGACTAGTATTTGCAGTGCTTCCACGTACGAACGCTCTGTATCATATAGTTCCACGACCACGTGAGTTCTCGTATCCTGAAAAACAAAATTAACTATTTAAACTGATGATATGGAACATTGAGTTTATTATTCTCTAAAGATTTATAAACAATTAATTACAAGTAATTACGTTATATATAAATATAACGAAACATTAAAAAAATAATCGTAAAATATTAATCTTTGTGAAAGAAAAAAAAAACGAATACTAATGGACATGCAAAAATTCGATGAATATTTATATAGAGAGAATAAAAGAGTTATTTGAAAATAATTCTATATAAATATTTCATAAGCCACTTAGATAAAAATCTATCCTGAAATTGAGATAAAAAGCAAACGATTTGAACGAGTATAGTTTTTTGTATTTGAGTATATTTAATTGATTTTAATCGAAATATCATTTCGTTTAAACATTTCGTTTGTACATTGAATTTCATTATTCGAGACGATGACTTCCATTCTCAACTTCTCTCGATTGTTAAGTGGAATGTAGACAAAAAATTAAATTAATGAAAAAAAATAAATCATAACTATTATAATACTGTTAAAAAATCCTTTCATAATTAAATTAATTTTAATAACTGTAACAATATTTAAAATATAATGCCTGTAGTATCAGGTTTGAGAGCCTTTTACTTTAATTTCTCTGGAACTAAGGGGTTGAAATTAATATTTCATTAACTAGGAAACGAATTATTAAAAATGCTCGAGGGAATATTCCAAGCACAATTTGTATCACCCAACAACATCTCTATGAATTAAAATATTTACGTAACATCGTTAATTACCTAGCTCTCAACATTCAAAACGATTAATTGAAAATAACCAATTGTAAAAAAGAAAGAAGAAAACGATTCAAATATTTCAAAGAAAAAAAAAAATAATGTTACGAAAATCCTTTCCATTATTTTGATATTCACGCTAGTTAAATTCTTTTCAATTATCCCATTGTTCGATGAAATCCTGAACAATCAATCGGTCTAGAAACGACAAAATTTTCACATTGATCCCATTGTCTTGTGACAAAGATCGCACATGCCCACGTATCGTGCGAGCACGTGCGCACATTCACGTGTTCACCGATAACGTCATGCCACTGATTACGAGAAAAACTATTCCCGATTACGTAAAGCGTAAGATACGACATAATCTTACGTCCTGAACCTGGACGATTGTCATCGATCGTTATGACATAATCGTCGTTAAAGCGTTTCCCGTTATATTCAACATTTTTCACCTTCCATATTTATCTTCAATATTATTTTTATTATTTTGTAATCTCGTGAAGAGATTACGAAATAAAAAAATTGTTTTTACGTCTGTAATAAATATTTTCATATAAACAACGTATATATCTACTAAATATATCCTTTCGCGTATAAAATAACAAATTATGAATATTAATAAACCAGCTATCATACATATATATTTTTAAAGCGAATTTTTTACAAAATTTTGTGCAAGCAAGAATAAAATCTGATGTATCTATTAGTACCGATGAACGATAGATAATAAAAATGTCTCCTTTTTCAACAAACTAATCCCTTAAAATCAATTTTTCCAAACTGCACTTCGCAACGCTTATTTTTCATCAAAAAGAATAGAAATAAAAAAAAATTCCATTCCATTCTCGCGGTGTTTGCATTTTTCACGAAACAACGGATAAAACGCATACAGGAAACTGAGAGAATTTCACATTTGCCTGGAATAATCGATGTCAAAAATTAAAAAAAAAAAAAGGAACAAATAAAAATAGAAAAGTGATCGATATCAAAAATGAAATAAATAAATAAGAGTGAGAAAAAAAGATATCGATATAAAGAAGGCAATGAGCACGATGGTCACACACAATGCGCGTGCAATGTAGAATCCGTTGTGTGTACACACGTATATTGTGGGATATTGGTTGTAAAGCATGAAAAGGAAAGCTACCCACGCGGTCTGTGCTGACACGCTCGTTATTTTCGCTGTCCACCGACGGCTGGCTGATGAGCTTGCGATCAGCGTTCATCGTCATCCTCTTCTCTAACGCCTTTGTCGGTCCCTCGATACAGTTTTAAGCTCTCTAATCGCGTATCAATCAGGCTCCCCGCATTCGTGTCCCATGTCGATTGTTCCACGAATTGTTTACGACACTTTTCGAATCGAGAACAACAACGAGTTTTTGGTCTAATTGGAAGGAGAAGAGATCCTCTTTGTCAACGGGATTCTAATGATTCGATGGATCGATCAGAGGCGTGATTTTATTCACCATTTTTCGAAGAACGATTCATTAGATTCTGTTTAACATCTTTGAAGCGGTTGAGGTAGAAGCGGATGGATTGTTGGTTATCTATGAAGGGCTGGAAGAAGAGGATCGTTCTGTATGTAGCCTTTTTTTTTTCTGCTAGATTAAATGGAAGTTCAATATTGCATTGGAAGAATAGATTCGTAATTGAGAAAATAATTTCGATGCGAGTTGCAATACTTGAACAATTTCGATTGGATTATTTTAAATTAGAGTGAGATAGTTTGTTGATTATTTTCGAAGCTAAAAGAAGAGATTTGTAACTATTTTTCATCTACTAGATCAATAGTAATTGGAACGTTTTATTGAGAAGATAATTTCGTTCTACAAAGAATATTCAAAAGACAATTTCAAAATGATTTTATAACTATATGATTTATGATTTATAATTCTTGAACAATCAAAACTGTTCAATTATTAGATACAAAATATGCAATATAGTTTCAAAATTTTTAAATTGTGTAATCCTTGTCTTCTTTATTTCTGAAGTAAATAATATTATAAAAATGCAATTAATATTTATTAGATAAATTTTCAATTATCTGCTTAAATTCATAATCTCGCTCTTATTCTCATTATTATCTATTCCTATTATCTCCTATTAAAAATGAAGCGAATTGTGTAAAAGTTATATCCGGTTCACAAGCGTGAAAGAGTTTTATAATATTGTAAAAAGTTAAACGAGAAAAGGAGATTTATTTCGATCAGAAAGATTTCCCCTTATCAGCCGTAGGCATTATTCATTTTATCCCATAGTTTTCCTCCTTATTAACATTTTCTCATAACACGTAATCAGGAAATATTAATAAAAATAATTAATTTATTGGAAAATTATAATATCGGAAGCTCGACGCAGGAATTGAAAGAACAAAACTTATCTTCGATGTAATATTTTTGAACAAATCTCATTTCAAAATCAAACAAAAATATTTCCAATATTTCGTAATACGAGTGATAAACAAGAGAAAGAAATATCTGTAAACAGCTATGTTCTAAAATAACAATATGCTGATATCATTATTTTCAATACTATTGCATATTTCAATATCCATAAAACAGAAACTTTTAAAAGAGAGGAATTGATTATTTCAGTTTAATTACAATTATTCATCTTTATTCCGATGTTAACAAATGGACAAATTCATTTTTCTCGTTCTAATTCAATATGTAAGTATTATCACATAGTAAACATCTATGTCTGATTTTGAGTTATTAATACTGAAATTAAGTATGAAAACAATTTTTTATTTTAAAGCCATTCAATCGAGGAATCAATAGAACACTAAAAATTCCAAATTTAAAATTTTGATACGTAGATACTAGAACGAAGGTATCGATAATTTCAATGATATTTCATTGCTAAGTATCTGTATAATTTCAATTACTCGATTAAATCGCGAAGAAAATATTGTTTCGAGTTTGCTCGAGTATTTCTCGCTTCGAAGTGATCGAGCAGTGCCACTTTAAAAGCTCGGTCCGACAAGTTTTGGCGTTTCCACGTAGAGCTTTCACACTTCGAGCTGGGATGATCATACGTCGAACACGTCGTGCATGTACCACACCGTTCTTCCACGTTATATTTAGCAAGCTGACTCAGGGCCCCCCTCGTGAGCTTGCAAGCTCCCCTTTCTATCTTTTTCGCTCTTTCACGCTTGTCCTTCTTTCCGCCGAGAAACACGCCATTCCGTACCGATTACCGAACCGATTACATTCGAAAGGACCTGATTTTCCCCTCTTCGCTTCGATTCGTCCGGGAAGACGAGCCGAGAATTTTTTAAATAGTTTTAAATTATCCAGTTCTTTTCCTTCGTGGAAATATCGAAGATAAAAGATAAACGAATCATGTGAAAATCAACAGTCCAAAGATCAATGCAAGTGAAATAAGATTATCGAGGTGAAAAGTTGATCAAGATAGATTGTGTGATAAATTCAAATTTTAGATATTCTTAGTTTTTAATCAGAATGTTATTATATTAAACTGTTGAACTTTTTTTTAACAACATTTGATTATTAAACTTGCAATTGACGTTAAAACGTTACATCGCGAATAATTCAATCGAAAAGTTACTTCTCCCGATAACGAACTCCTGGTTAATTTTAATTACTCTTCTGAAACCGTTCTGAAACCACTGCAAACTTCATTATCGTTCCGTATAACGAGTAAAAAGTACAATTCCACAGATGCTCCCCCCTCGCTGATCAATAATTCAATAATATTTCCAAGAAAGGAGGAAGGAAGATAAGGGGGGAAGGAAGGTAAGGAAAAATAGAACATCGATATTAGCCCGTTGATAAGAGATCCTTGGAAATCTTAGAACTGGAATGCGTTTTCACGTGAAATTAGATCCTAATAGGGAAACGCGACGTTCTGAAAGTAGATTGGCCAATGTCGATGCAAGGCTACGTTCATCCCCCTCAACTATAACGCGCGTTTCCTCCTCGATGGAATTCGAGGGGTGGAATACCGTATGCTCCTGTCGATATGTCTTGTCATTCTCGAACGACAGAACTCAATTTCCAATCTATTTTATTGATTGAATTAATAGAAACCTCGCATATACTATTAATTAACTTAAAAAGAAAGGAAAAGAATTTTTTTGAAATGAAAACAAGTAAGTGCGAGGGACGAAATTTTATCGTGGATGAAAAATATTTAGAAAATTTAAAGTTGGATACATGATTTAAATCGTATAAAAGAAATATATGTAAAATAATTTCGGATTTATCCCGTGAATCTTTGTTCACT